CAAAGTCGTCTTCGCTGACACGTGTTGCTTTTCTCTTTGCGTTTTATTCTTTTCAAGAGAGAAATCGAGTTGACGCTGTCAACCAAGACCTGCCCCCTTCCCCATCCTCCCACCCCTGCCCGGCCGCAGTGTCTCCTGAAGACACAGGTCACGGGCAGGGGCTCCGCGCCCCCCGTGCATCCCTGGTCTCGCCGCCAGGGGGCCTCAAACCCCACCCCTGCCCCAGACCCCGTCAGGCCCGCCCCCAAAGCCCTGCCACCGCAGTCCAGGGACGCCCCCCCCCACGCACCTTCTCTTAGCATGTGATTGCAAATGTGAAAATCAAAACGTTTGTTTGTTTTGTTCTGTTTTTTAATTTTTTTTTTAATTTTCTAATTCCACCCCGTTGATCTGGTGTCCTCGCGGATGCCCTCATTTCTCTGTAAATATGTGACTTGGAACATGTTTAAAACAAACGAGAAGTGGTCATGAACGCATGGTGTCGAGATGTTTTGCACTAATCTGATTTTTTTGGTCTCTGTAAAAATATTTTACTAACAGCAGACATTAAAAAAAAAAAAAAGAAAGAAAGAAAGAAAGTACACAGCCTGAGATTTGTGGTGGATGTTCTGTCCCTACGCGGCCCTAACCTCTCAACTACTCAGGAGGCTGAGTCAAGAGGATCTTCTGAGGCGGGCAGGCCAGCCTGGGCAACATCATATGATCTGTAGAAAGAAATAGAGAGAGAGGGAGGGAGGAAGAGAGAGAGAAGGAAGGAAGATGGGACACTGGGGGGTGGCTCAGTGGTAGAGAGCATCCCCATCATCAAAGCAAAACCAAAATATTAGCATCTCTCATATAACGTTGATCATGCTTCCTGAACGCAGATGCAGCTTATCCCCATGTTATTGACAAAGAAACTGAGGCCCAGAGGAGCAACATCACAGAGCTAGGAAGAGGTGCAGGTGAGATTTGAACCCAGGACATTAGGCAGCTTGTTACTTGTAACTCAAGTTCAGGCACAAACACCAGGGACTCAACCCACACCACTAAGGTTGTCTGTTTTAGTCACAGCAGATGGCAAGGAACTAAATTTTGTGTTCCTAAAGAGAAAGCAAGGAGAAAAGAAAAGAAAACCTCCACTTTCCTACAGCAGAATTAATTTCTGTTTTCAGCCCCCATCCTACCAGGGAGCAGAAACAGGCTCAGTTCAGTTTTTTCTTGATCAATTCAAGGGCAGCCCCCTGATGTTTGAGGTTGTTTCTACATGCCAGTGGCCAGGGCAAGGACCACGGGATCCACGTCAGAGAATGCTTTGGGCTGCAAGTAACAGTCAACAGGACTAAACCAGGGACAAGAGGGAGAGGCGGTGGCCTGATCTAGAATGAGATGCACTTTTCAGGTCTCAGGCTCTTCTTTTAAGGGAAACATTGTAAATAGTGAACATGAAAGGTCCACGGGGGTCAGGTGTGGTGGCGCAGGCCTGTAATCCCAGCGGCTTCAGAGAAGAGGCTGAGGCAGGAGGATGGCGAGTTCAAAGCCAGCCTCAGTAAAAGCGAGGCGCTAAGCAACTCAGTGAGACCCTGTCTCTAAATAAAATACTAAATAGGGCTGGGGAGGTGGCTCAGTGGTCAAGGGCCCCTGAGTTCAATCCCCGGTACCAACAAACAAACAAACAAACAAAAAAACAGATTTCTGTTACTTGACTCACCTTAAAAAAAAAACAAAAAAAACCTTATATAACAGAACACAGGCTGTGGCTTCTCACCTCTGACTCCATCCATTGCTTCCCACTGTTACCTCCTGGTTCCCACTTTATTCAACCTCAGGCTAAAGTCTGGCACATTGTCAGGGCCTTCCCCAGCCCCCACTTGCTCCCGAACCCCAACCCTGTGATGTCCCCTGATCCTAACCCACTTGACCCTGTTCCTGGCGTCACTCCACTTGCCACCACAGCCAAATTGCTGGGGAATGTCAAAAAAAGGCGTCTTCCATTTCCTGGAGAATGTAACAATTATGCGGTGGATCATCTGTCCCTGATTACATTTTATTATATCATTTTTTTATTGCATGATAATTGCTCTGCTCCTGATCCTGCAATTACACGTAATGGTTCCTGTGATTACGCATCCCCCAGTTACACAGTCCCTGCCTTCATTATGACATACGGTGAGAAGCCATGGGGTTGACTTGAGTCCCGCCCTGCCCAATCCCATTCCCGTCGGAGGTGACAGAGCCCCAGCTGTGCTCACAGACCGCCCTGCCGCTGGGCACAGGCTCAGATTCACGGTCCAGAGGCGCCTGTGGGAGTTTAAATGGCAGCAGGGACCAGAGTCCTCTTCCCTTTCCCTCTGCCGGCAGCCAGGTGTGCAAACAGCGTGTACTTCAGAACTAGCGCCCCCTTGCGGAGTGACAAGCATGGTGGGCGCGGGAGGGCCAGTTCCGCAGTCTTTCCTGCAGGAGGAGACGCTCTGCTGAAGGGCCGGCTCTGCCTGCTGCTTGGTTTGTTGTTTGTACTGGGGATTGAACCCGGGGTGTTTTATCACGGAGCCACATTCTCAGCTCTTCTCTTGTATTGGATTTACAGATAGGGTCTCACTGAGTTGCTTAGGGCCTCGATAAATTGCAGAGGCTGGCTTTGAACTCATGATCCTCCTGCCTTAGCCTCCTGAGTTGCTGTGTTTACAGATCTGTGCCACCGCATGCAGCCTATGGCTTTTTTTTGTTGTTGTTGTCAATAAAGTTTTATTAGCAGTTACTGAGCTGCTTCATTTGTATATCCCCTGCATCTGCTTTTTAAAAAATTCTTTTTTTAGTCGTAGATGGACACAATGACTTTATTTTATTTGTCTTTATTTTTAAGTGGTGCCAGTGCCTCACGCCTGCTAGGCAAGCTCTCTCCCCTGAGCCACACCCCGGCCCCTGCACGGGTTCTTACAGGACAAGAGCAGAGCTGAGTTACTGTGGATTTCCTGTATCAAACCCATCTGCTAAATGACCCCAAGTGGGATCTGTTTCCCCCGCCTTGACCGGGGGCTGAGGACATTTTGATACTTATTATGATACATCCACAGGGCCAGATGTGATTGCAGCCACACTAAGGGACAAAGTAGTAGGAGGCTGAGGAATGTCCCTCAGAGATACCTGCATTTATGGCCTGGTACTTGCGCATGTTACTTTAAATGGCAAAAGACACTCTGCAGATGTGATGAAGGATTTTCAGACAATGGCAAGGGTCGGGTGGATTCCCCAGAGGGCAAGGCGGTGCCTGGACTCCCAGCTGCTGGGGAGGCTGAGACAGGGGCGTGAGCCTGGGAGTTTGAGGCCAGCCTGGGCAGCCCAGGGGGACCCATATTTTAAAAGTCCTGGATTAAGACACGAGGTCAGGTGAAGAAATAGAAATGGAGGCAAGAGTTTGGAGGAATGAGTAGGAAGGGGGTCGCAAGGCCAGGAAGGATAATGGCTCCAAAAGCTGGAAGACACCTGGAGAGGGACTGTGCTGGGTTCTCCCGAAAGAAGCACCCTGCTGAGCCGAGACAGCCCAGCCAGATTGATTCTAGACTTCTGGCAGGGGACGAGCATGGTGGCGCAGGCCTGCAATGCCAGCCACAGTGGATGCTGAGAGACAAAGATCAAAGTTTGAGGCCCACCTGGGCAACTTAGTGAGACCCTGCCTCAAAATGAAAAGTCAAAAGGGCTGGGGGTGCCAGGCACGGTGGCACACACCTGTCATCCCAACGGCTCAGGAGGCTGAGGCAGGAGGATCCCAAGTTCCAAGCGAGTCTCAGCAATGGCGAGTCACTAAGTAACTCAGCGAGACCCTGTGTCTCAATACGATATAAACAGGGGCTGGGGATGTGGCTCGGTGTTAAGCGCCCCTGGGTACCCAAACAAACAAAGAACACGGGAAAAGATGTGGCCCAGGCTAGAGGTGTGGCTCGGGGTAGAGGACGTCCCTTCCTAGCAAGGACAAAGCGCTGGGTTCCAGCCCCAGTATTACAAAACTAACTAAATATGATAAAAGAAGAGGAAAGTTGTTTTTAAAAATTTTGTCTTTTGTATGACAAAGATGACCCCCCTGCAAAAGAAATCCCGCAGATGGCTGCAGTTTAGGTAGCAGGATTCTTCTCTTTGCCAAGCTGAGGCTGGAATCCAAGACTTTGCTCATCTTGAGCTAGTGCTCTGCCACTGAGCCACATTCCCAGCCCCCATCCATTTTTAAAAGGTGCGTGCACTTGTGGGTTCTGAGAGCCACCGGTAGTAGTACTGGGGGCGGGCCCCGCGCATGCGCTGCACTAGACCTTCTCCCCCACCCACCCCCCCAGGCGTCACTCCGTGCATTGCAGACACCGTCAGGTGTTCTGTCACACGGCGAAGATTTGGTGTGGGGATGTGTGTGGGTCCTGGAGCCAATCCTCAAGGACAGTGAGGGACAACGGTGTTCCCCTGTGCAAACGGGAGGAGCCGGAGCACGGTCACCACCTCAGCCGTGTCCGGAAGGAGGTTCGATCCTTGGTCCCTTTGCTGCGTTGGATGTTCTGGTTTTCCACGCGGACCACTCGCCATCTGCAAAACCACACACACACACACACACACACACACACACACACACACACACACTCCACGCACCCAGAGGGTCTGCTAATCCTGAGAGCTCGCCAGCATTTGTTCCAGAAAATCCAGACGCACCTGGGCGTGGAGAGCTGCCCGGGACCTCTGCGCGGCCTGGGTCCCGGCACCAGCTGCCAAGGGCGGCGCCTGCTCTCTGGCGCCCCCTGCCGGGCTCCTTTCTTCCCTCCCACGGAGTGCCTGGGGTCACCCCCTAACTCGAATCCTCATCTTGAGGTCTGTTTTCTGGGGACACAAACCATGTCTGTGCCCCTCCCTTGAAGTCAGTGGACAGTACTGTGGCTGACCCCAAGCTAGAGGAGGCCTCCCTCTGTCCCAGAGCCCAGACTACTTGGGACAAGGACACTGGGTATGGAGCGTGGGAGGCGTTTGGGCGGCAAGAAGACCAGGACTTCGGTGGAAACCAACCAGGACCATTTAATACAAAAATAAGCAAATTACCCGAGACCCACCCGCGAGCAGGGCTGCCCCGGAGGACGAGGCCACGCTCCAGCCCTGAGGGTGGACTTGGAGGGAAGGCACAGCAACCCCGCGGTCCTGCTGGGAACACAGCCCAGGCCAAGGGCAGCACCCTATGAGCTGCGCCCACCAGGCCCCGAACACACGCTCCTCCCACGGAGGCGTGCAGACAGGCAGCTGAGGGAGCAGGCAGAGGAGACTCCACGGCAGGCGCCAAGCGCACAGACAGGAGGGCTGGGCAGGAGGGAGGCCCAGCCCCCATCTGCCTCCTGAGCCCCCTCCAGGGGGGCTCAAAAGTAGCCATGTGGCCACTGGGACCCAGAGGTTACAGCTGGTGGGGGAAGAGCTACCTCCCTCCTGGACAGTGGGGGAACCAAGCATGCTGCAATCCAGCTGGGAGTCCACAGAGGCCTGGCACACAGTAGGTGCTCAATAAATGCTTGCTGCATGAGGAAATGAAGGACAGATACACAGTGAGATCCCAGCCCTGAAGCAACCCCTGGAGGAAATGAAGGGACCTATCTCACACACCTCTGTGTCCTAGGACTGCTGTGTGGCCTGGCACACGGTGGGTGGTGACAAATGCTGACTGAACAGCTGTCACACTGTGTGGTGTCATTAGTGCTTTGTGCACAGCAGGTGCCCAAGGTGAAGGGAAGAAACCAATTAGAGAAGCACCACATTTACATGCACCAGGCTGAAGTCCCAACACAGTGGGTGCTCAATAAATGCCCTGAATCAAGAACTTACCTTTGTGTCTCAAATACCAGGCATGTGATAGATGCTTGGCATGTGTCTGAATAAATGAATGTCTTATTTATCTCAGTATTCCCAGAGCCCAGAATGGTGCCCACCACACAGTAGGCACTCAATAAATACTTTGAATGAATTTCAAAGGTGAATACATATCACTAATACCTGATTCTTAATCTGATCAATAAATGCTTGATGATCGATTCAATCTCTGATCAGAGGAATCATTATGCCTCCTTCATGGCCATAACACAGAAACCTGGTACACAGCAGGTGCTTAATAAGTGTTGGGCACATGATAGATGACCCAGTCTTATTCCCATCCAATTCCCCTGTGCCCAGCCCTGTTCCTGGCATACAGTAGGCACTCCATTAATGCTGCCTGTGGCAAGGACCGCAGAGCAAGAGCTGGCTGGATGCCACCCCGTGGTGAGCTCTGTGGTCCATGGGGCCCCAGGTGACCCCGTGGTGCCCTGCAGCACAGAGAGGGTGGCGCTGCGCGGCTCCCGCAGCCCTCACAGCTCGTCCCGCGCGGTGCTGTCCAGCGGGGACTGAAGCACGTCCGAGTTCTTGGCCTCGCGGCTCAGCGCCTGCTGCTCCCGCATCTTCTGGGACTTGGCTCGGTCCCAGTCGGTCTTGACGTGCTCGTTGTTCCACACCACTGAGGTCTCCGTGTCGCTCACGTAGCCGTCGTCCCCCGTGTAGTGAGTGGGGTAGACGAGCAGCGGCTCCACGGAGAAGGCGCGCAGGTCGCGGGGCGAGAAGTGGGCTTTGTACTCGGACCTGGGGGGGAGCAGGACAGGGTGGCCCGGGGAAGGGACGGAGAGCTGGGGGCGCGGGCAGAGGAGACCCTCCTGGAGTCCCACCCCCTGACCCCCTCCGTCAGCCACTCACACCGGGTGCTTGTCAAACATGACCGGCAGGAACTCGTCCACCGGCAGCATCTTGGCCAGCGGCCTGGCGGCCAGCAGCTTGCGGGCCCCTTGCAGGGAGATGACATAGGCCAGTGTCCAGTAGGAGTAGTCGGCCTCCACCAGGTTCCTCACGCGGGGCACGGCCTTCTCGGGGTGCTCCACCTGCATCCGCTTCCGGCCCACGTAGCTGGGGGCAGAAGCAGCGCTGTCACTCTCACCCTCCAGAGGACACCAACCCAGAGAGCCAGGGACCTAGTGACCCCGCCAGGCTCTGAGACGACACAGGCTCAGCACGTCTGGGGAGCACTGACGAGGCCACTGTCACTGGACACGGTGAGGCGGGACCACAGGGTCTAGGGGTGGGGGCACAGGAGGGGAGTGGGTCTTTCCTAAGGGTGCTAGGGAGCCATGGGAGGGTTTGGAGCGGGGAAGAGCAGATCACTGGAATGCTACAGGGTGAAGCTGGTTTCAGAGCCAGGCCTGGGCGGTACCCTGCGCGTGGAAGGGGAAGAAAGGAGGGGCAGAGGGAGGACACCCTGCCCACCTGTGACATTCTGAAGTACCACCCAAGAGCTGGCCACCTCCACCCACATTCTTTTTTTTTTTTATTTATTTTTTTTTTATTTTTTTTAGTTCTCCGGCGGACACAACATCTTTGTTGGTATGTGGTGCTGAGGATCGAACCCTGGCCGCACGCATGCCAGGCGAGCGCGCTACCGCTTGAGCCACATCCCCAGCCCCTCCACCCACATTCTTAAACTGCACTCTTGGCTCTTGACACACCCCAAACCTGACCATGCCCAGCAGGCCTGCAGGCTCCCCGGCCACACCCCCGGCCTCGGCCCTCCCACCACCCTCGTGGGCCCAGTGTAGTGGGCGAACCCTGACCACGCCTACAGGCTTCCGGCCAGGCCTAGACTCTGGGTCACCCTCCCAAGGTCCTACCTGAGACCACACCTGACATGCTCTTAGGCCCAGGGACTACCTAAGCCCTTTGGTCAGGCTGCCAAGAGTTGGCTGTCCCAGGCCACAACTCTTTCCCCCAACCTCACCTACTGACCCACAGGCTCTAGGATTCCCGCAGGGCTCCGGCCACGCCCCCAGACTTGCCCCACCCACCGACCCACAGGCCAGTCCCTGGCTCTAGCTCCCAAACCCCAGGGCACACCTCTGTCCCTGGCCACGCCCAAGGCCCAGCTGTGGGCCCCAGACCCCCACTTACATGAGGTCCCAGTCCAGGGCCTCTCGCTCCACGTCCCGCATGAGATTCATCAGGCGCCTCTTGAAGAAGATCTCAAAACGCAGGTCATCCTCAAACACCAGCGATTTCTGCAGCCCTCGGTCCACGACCTGAGGGAAGGTGCCCCAGAGGTGACAAGGAGACCAAAGCCCAGCCTGTGCCTGAAGCTAGCGACTCTGCTAGAAGGCTCTGGGGACCCAGAGAGAAGCAAGCGCACCGGTCCCTCCAGGGTTCAGCTCTCCTGGCTGCGACCTCTCGGTCCCTCCCTCCCACCCGGGCCTTTCCCTGTGCTGTGCCCTCCACACGGAGCCTCCTCCCTGGCAGCCAACGGCAGGCTCCTTGTCACCCTTCAGGCCTCAGCTCAGATGTCACCCCTGATCACCCAATGCCACCAGCTGAGGACAATCCAAAGCCCTGAGCCACTCCTGTGAGTGCTCATCGCGTCTATCATGTTGCTGCTGCTGCTTTGCTGCTTGTCACCGCTGTCCCCACCTCCCCAGGCTCTCCCCTGGTCACCGCTGTCCCAGCCTCCCCAGGTCTCCCCTGGGTGGGGGCAGGCTCACTCCTGGTGGCTGCCATGTCTCTAGTACAGGCTGGGTACACAGTAGGCGCTTAGCAATTACTTGATTGAATGACCTCGAGAATCTTCACGACTGTCCCCTGAGACCATGGCCACCTGGAGAAGCCAGGAAGCACCTTTCTTGCTCAGAACCTCCACCCACTAAGGCAGCAATGGACTTGAACCCAGGTCCCCTGGCTCCAGGGCCACCTGGCACGGCAAGCTCTGCCCTGCGCCATCCATGATGAACTGCAGGAAAGCAGGGGACACACATTGGGTACCCGTCACCTCACACCCCAGATGCCCTCACCACACACCCCGCAGCTGACACGCCGTCTGGTCCCCAATCTGAATCCCAGCCTGACATCTGCCCCGCCACAGCCTCCCGTACCCTGGCGAGCGGCTGTGCTGGCTGAGGTCACTGTGGCCACACTGCGTCAGTATGCGCTGCGCAGCACCAGGCTGTGGGAGGGGCCCACCTGCTGCAGGGCCAGGCTTGCTCGCGCCTGTTTCCATACCCGCACAGCAGGACAGCAGCTGTCCCCTCGGAGGCTCGGGGCCACCCTGACTCTGCTAAGGCAAAGGGGCCAAAGAACAGCCCAGGGTCCCGCTGCTGCTGGCCCTGCCCGTGACCCCTCAGGAGACCAGGCGCGGTGGCCTCAGGGCCCGCCACCCACCTCCTTCCAGATGTTGTAGTGGCTGAGGAAGCAGCCCAGCTCGCCCTTGGTGAGGGGCCGCCCGTGGTAGGGGTCCCGGTAGCCAGGCAGCATCTGGATGCCCAGCGCCTCCACCTGGCTGCTGTTCATGGCCCTGGACACAGAGCAGGACGTCGGCGGGGACATTGGCAGGAACACCGCCCACTGCCAGGCCGCCATCGGCCACCGAGCCAGCACCC